ATGAATGGGTTGATGGACCTGCAGGCCTCCGCTGTGCGAAGTGTTTCAGTCTCGGGGGTGAGGACAAAGATGAGCTTCCCCTTAATGGTTGCATGGGGGTTACCCCCAACATCCGACCGCTCCTCAAGGACCCCATGGGGCACCTCGTCGTTGCGGCTGGATTGACAGCTCGAGCTTCGGGCAGTGCTGGTAGAAAGGTCCCTGAGAAGCAGTTTTGGATTTGTTTAAGATGTGTGGGGGGTGGTCCCAGGGTAGAGCCCTAAAGCTTGCTTAGCCGTGTCTCAATCCTGGTCAACACCCCACAAAGAAAGGTCAGGAGGTTATAAACCGCTATGCCCAGGGGAAGCCACCGAACCGCAAGGTCCGAGCCCTCCTCGGCCGTAGCGTCGTCCTCCCTCGCAACCCCACGGTTGAGATGTTGGCCCCCTGGGAGTCCTGTGCGGTCCCTGGCTCGACTGAGGTGTCCAGGTCTTTCTCAGCCTCAGGGGTTCCCTCTCATGAGCAGCGCATGGCCGCCCTGGTTGAGAGGATTCGTTTAAAGGAAGCCTCTGCAGGCAAGTAATTCCAACTCGTTTAGTTCTTGCGGCCCTCGGATGGGTAACCGTGTATCCTTCCTGGCCGTTTTTGGTGCTGTGCACTTTCCCTTCGGGCCCTTCCATTACATTCCATTCCTTCTCCTCCTCCGTTCTCCTCTATCTCCTCCTTCTCTCCATCACCTCCATTTTTTTTTCTCTTCGCTGTTCTCCTTCGCCTCCTCCGCCTTCTCCTGCCCCTACTCCCTGCTCGTACTTAGTCCTTGCTTCCTCTCCTTATACTCCGCGTATGGGTGATCTTGGAGCTGATGTCCATGCAGCCATGATCTCCTCGACTTCCGCCTCCTCCTTCTACTCCATTTTCGTTTCCGCTCCTCCCTTGCATGGGGGAGGAGGAGGAGGAGGAAACGAAGCAGAAACAACATAAAGGGTAGGAGACGGGGGATGACCGATTGGCTGGCTGGCACGGTGGTGGGAGTTGCCTCCTTCTTCATCCTCGATGGCAAGTCTTCGGTGGATTCTGGAAGTTGCGGAGGCCCCTTGATGATCCAAAAACCTCGACGCTTGATCCTCCTCCTCTCGCCTCTCCCTTGCTCCTGGCGGAGGATGATGGGGGAGGAGGACAGGGAGGAGCAGAGTGTTCACTCAAGGAAGCGCAGACATATTCAGGCACGTGGATTGGCGGCTGGTCTAGTTTCCGTGGGGGATCGGCGCGACCCGTCACGAAATGAGGCGGCAGTGGCCTCATGTTCCGGGGCGGCGCCGCCATGCGCACTGCGCCTCCGGGACCTTCGGTGGAGCTCCCGAGTGGGCGCCACGAAGCGCGTGAGGGGTGCGCCAAAGTGGGGCGGCGCCGCCATGCGCACTGCAGCACTGGGACCTGAGCTGGAACTCCCCATGGGGCCACGAAGCGTGCGAGGGATGAGCCAAAATGGGGCGGCGCCGCTATGCGGACTGCGCCACTGGGACCTCAGGTGTAGCTCCCTATGTGGCCACGAGACGTGTGAGTGGGTGTACCAAATGGTGCGGCGCCGCCATGCGGACTGCGGCACTGGGACCTCAGGTGGAGCTCCCTATGGGGTCACGAGACGTGTGAGGGTGTGCCAAACTGGGGCGGCGCCGCCATGCGCACTGCGCACCTGGGACCTTAGGTGGAGCTCCCTGTGGCTCCCTATGGGGCCACGAAACGTGTGAAGGGTGTGCCAAGATGGGGCGGCGCCGCTATGCGAACTGCGCCACTGAGACTTTAGGTGGAGCTCCCTGTGAGAGCCCGAAGCGCGTGAGGGGTGTGCCAAAATGGGGCGGCACCGCCATGCGGACTGCGCCACAGAGATCTCAGATAGAGCTCCCTACGGGGCCACGAAACGTGTGAGGGGTGAGCCAAAATGGGGCGGCGCCGCCATGCGCACTGCGCCACTGTGACCTTCGGTGGAGCTCCCTATGAGGCCACGAGACGTGTGAGGGGTGAGCCAAAATGGGGCGGCGCCGCCATGCGCACTGCCCCACTGTGACCTTTGGTGGAGCTCCCCATGGGGCCACGAGACGTGTGAGGGGTGTGCCAAAATGGCTCGGCGCCGCCATGCGGACGCTCTGCTGGGACCGTAGGTAGAGTTCCGATGGGTCCACGAAACGTGTGAGGCGTGTGCCAAAATGGGGTGGCGCCGCCATGCGGACTGCGCCACTGGGACCTCAGGTGGAGCTCCCTATGGTGCCATGAAGCGTGTGAGGGGTGTGACAAAATGGGACTGCGCCGCCATGCGGACTGCGCCACTGGGGCCTCAGGTGGAGCTCCCTATGGGGCCACTGAACGTGTGAGGGGTGCGCCAAAATGCAGTGCGCCGCCATGCGGATTGCGCCACTGCGGCCGTAGGTGGAGCTCCCTTTGGGGCCACGAAACGTGTGAGGGGTGTGCCAAAATTCTAAACGCTTCGCGTATCCCCACCAGCCCGTCCAGAAACGACGCCCAGGCGAGTAGAGGGTCGTCCTGAGGGGCTTTTCGGCGTCTTGGGTTTCTCGGGGGGGGGGGGCTCTTTGGGCAGTTTGGGATCATCTTGGGGGCCTCCTGGGGGCCTCTTGGGGCCATCTTGGGGCCTTTTGTTGCCTCCTGGGCGCTTCTTGGGGCCATCTTGGAGGAAATCGATCGAAGAAGAGGGGAGCTTCAATTAGTGCTGCCCCCTCTGGGGGCCAAAATGAGGCCAAAACCTTAGTAACATCAATGAGTTTGGCTTCCTCGGCGAGGCCGTTTTGGACGCTCTGACCGCTCCCCGCCCCCCTTGTCCAGGTCAGTGGGGAGGGGGTTGGGGGAGGGGTAAACCCCTCCCCGAAGGGGAAGAAGGAGGGGTGGAAGAGGAAACGCTCTAAACCACCGACGCCCAGAGGGCTGGTGGGATTGGGCGATGTCGCCATGCGCACTGCGGCACTGGGACATTAGGTGGGGCCCCCTATAGGGCCACGAAACGTGTGAGGGGTGTGCCAAAATGGGGCGGCGCCGCCATGCGGACTGCGCCTCTGAGACCTGAGGTGGAGCTCCCTATGTGGCCACGAAGCGTGTGAGGGGTGTGCCAAAATGGGGCGGCGCCGCCATGCGGACTGCGCCACTGGGACCTTCGGTGGAGCTCCACATGTGAAGGGGTGTGCCAAAATGGGGCGGCGCCGCCATGCGGACTGCGCCACCTGGGACCTTAGGTGGAGCTCCCTGTGGGGCCACGAAGCGTGTGAGGGGTGTGCCGAAATTGGGCGGCGCCGCCATGCGGACTGCGCCACTGGAGCTCCCTATGGGGCCACGAAACGTGTGATAGGTGTGTTAAACATGGAACGGCGCCGCCATGCGGACTGCGCCACTGGGACCTTAGGTGGAGCTCCTAGAGGGCCACGAAACGTGTGAGGGTGTGCCAAAATGCGGCCGCGGCGCCATGCGGACTGCGCCACTGGGACCTCAGGTGGAGCTCCCTATGGGGCCACGAAGCGTGTGAGGGGTGCGCCAAAATGGGGCGGCACCGCCATGCGGACTGCGCCACTGGGACCTCAGGTGGAGCTCCCTATGGGGACACAAAACGTGTGCCAAAATGGGGCGGCGCTTCCATGCGCACTGCGCCACTGGGACCTTAGGTGGAGCTCCCGATGGGGCCACGAAACGTGTGAGAGGTGTGCCAAAATGGGGCGGCGCCGCCACACGCACTTCGCCACCTGTGACCTCAGGTGAAGCTCCTTATGGGCCACGAAACGTGTGAGGGGTGTGCCAAAATGGGGCGGCGCCGCCATGCGCACTTCGCTACGGGGACCTTAGGTGGAGCTCCCTATGGGGCCACGAAACGTGTGAGGGGTGAGCCAAATGGGGCGGCGGCGCCATGCGAACTGCGCCACTGGGACCTCAGGTGGAGCTCCCGATGGGGCCACGAAACGTGTGAGGGGTGCGCCACAATGCGGCCGCGGCGCCATGCGCACCTCGTATGGGGCCACGGAATGTTTGAGTTGTGTGCCAAAATGGGGCGGCGCCGCCACGCTCACCTCGCCACTGGGACCTTAGGTGGAGCGCCCTAGAGGGCCACGAAACGTGTGAGGGGTGCCAAAATGGGGCGGCGCCGCCATGCGGACTGCGCCACTGGGACCTCAGGTGGAGCTCCCTATGGGGCCACTAGACGTCTGAGTGTGTGTGTGTGTGTGTGTGCCAAAATGAGGCGGCGCCGCCATGCACACTTCGCTACTGGGACCTTAGGTGGAGCCCCCTATGGGGCCACGAAACGTGTGAGGGGTGTGTGCCAAAGTGAGGGGGTGACGAGAGGAGGGAGGAGAGGGCGGAGGAGGAGGAGGAGGAGGAGGAGGAGGAGGAGGAGGAGGAGGAGGAGGAGCAGAGGAGAGGAGAGGAGAGGAGACGTGGGGACCGTCTCTTCAAAACAAGTTGTTTGGAAAACTCTATTTTTTCAGCTGCGACCGACGAGATAGGTCGCTACTGGTGTTGCTGCAAATTTCTGGATCGGTCACGACCGATTTGCTTTAAATGGGTCGCGACCGACCTGCCGCGATCGATCGCGACTGGTCGCGGCCGATTTTGGAATCTGTCGAGATCGGTCGCGACCGATTCGGAGTGCCGATCGATCGGTGCCGATCGCGACCGACAAACATCTGGCAGCCAATGCTTTGGGGAGGCCTGGAATTTCTGATGGCCCCTGGCCCGCAGGTGGCCCCCGCCGGGCACGGACTGGAGGGACCAGGACACCTAACCCTCGAGCTTTCAGAGACGGGGGTCAATGCAAGCGAGGGTCGGCCAGAGCGCGGGAGCCAGATCTTGCAGGATCCAGCAAAGCCAGGGCTGCATTGACTTGGGCAAGCGCGCAGCATCCTGCAGGATCCTGGAGGATCTTGCAGGATCCTCCCGGACCCTGACTGACCTGGGCTTGCACTGACCCGGGTCAGTAGATCCCCGGCAGGCCCGGACCGGCGGCATCCGGACTTCCGACCCACGCAGAGGCCCCGCACGACTACTCCAACGGGGACCGGCGGAAGGCTGGCGAGGCCACCGCGGCGCCGGCCTCGGACGAGCCCAGCCCCCACTGTGGCGCTCGGCTGCCCGCGCCCGCCGCCGAGGGCACGGGCGCCAACGCGGAGTACTGGCAGCAGGCTCTCTGCGTCAAGCGATAGCCTCAACTTTTGTTCGCACCGGGCGTTTTCGGTTGGCATCGGGCTCCTGGACCACCACGGATCGATCCGCCTCGACACGTACCGCAGAAAAATGGGATCCAGGGCTCCAGTCGTCATTTTCGCCATCGAAGACGCCTACGATCAATCACCGCCGCCCCATGCTTTTAGGAATTGCCCATGTGGCCGCGTTGTGGCAAGAGCTCTGCCAAGCTATCGGACCATGTGTTTCCCCAGCCGTTGTTGGAACCCTTCGGAAAACTCTTGGGGGAGCATGACGGGGAAGATCAGGAAGAGGAGGAGGAGGAGGAGGAGGAGGAGGAGGAGGAGGACCATCGCACGGCTTCGGAAAGGGGCTCGACTTCGCTCAGGGCGACTCGAGCGCCTGGGCTGCCTGGACGGCAACTTCAGGGATCGGAGGCTTGAAGACAATGGGGCTCGTCTTAGAGGCCCTTGGGTGTCTTCCCTCTGCAGGGCGCGCGTAGGCGCCTACTGAAAAGCTAGAAGTGAATCGCTTGAGACAACCCTTCTGGAGGCTCTTAACGGTACACTCTGAATAATTGCCGCACAACTGACACGCAACAGTGAAACTCTCATCAGCAATTCTGTCGAAGACTAAAATCTTGTGACCGTTCGGCAGCTCTGTTAGCTTGGCCAGACGAGCAGCATTACCTGGGCACGACTCCTTGGCTCTGGAAAGTTCTACCTTATCTGACGTGCATCGCAAGTGGCAGAGACAGCAGAGCCAACGTGTTTTCTGCCACGTCCACACATGCCCGACTCGGGCTCGTGCGCGGGCAACACGGTGGGGACGGGGAGGGGGAGGAGCCGCCGCAGCTCCAGGGCCCGAAACCGATCCCCCAGAGTTCGCTCCGCTTTGCCACACTACCGCGATCGAGCGAGCACCTACAAGCGGGTTGGTTGCTTTCACTGGGCCCTCGAGGCCTCTCCCCCCAACCCTCGGGGCAATCGAGGGCCACAGCGAAAGAGCCTTCGGCACATACCGAAGGAAGCGTTTGATTATCTTGTCGAGCTGCTGCTGGGCATCTCTCTCTCCTTCCGAAGGCTGGGGGAGGCGCGAAGCAGCTAATTTGGCAATTCTGTCAGTGGCGTCATTTCCCGATGCGTGCCGCCACTTATCAGAGCAGCGGTCCAGGGAATCTAAATTTTGATGGGCTTAACTGTAGCCGCTTCAAAACCCCCTGCACAACTGCCTTGTCCTAGCCTGGCCATAGCGCCAAGCCCGTCATACAGATTCTTCCTACTAGCAGGCAGGCCCGAATTGAGGAAAATTCGTGACGTTTCGCTTGAGTAACAAAAAAATCCCCACCAGCACACTACGGCCCTTCCACTCGCTGGATTGGGCTGTCGCATCTCAGTGTGGAAGGTTCTCCTGCCTACATGTTTCCACACCCTGGATGCGTGTTCTGACGCCGCGACCTTGATCCGCCGTCAGGCTCTTCCGCTGGACTCGTGTCTCCAGACAGTCTGTGTTACCCGCCAGACTCCCTGGATCGACGTCCTCGGGACCGTTCCTACTTGTTCGTATTAGAACTGCTGGGAACGCCTTACGCGCCATTTTGGCTGCGCTCGGTTTCCTCGGTGTTTGTCTTCAGACTCCCTGGGTGCACCGTTGCATGTCTCGTTCAGGGGCTGTTCTGCAGACTCCCTGGATTGCACGCTGGCTCTGACGCCCTAGGACGCTGCTGCGTGCCGCCTGACCGCGGCTACGCGCGCGCCCGCCGCTAGTCGCGGCCGCAGCCCGCCCGCGACCGCCCGCCGCTGGCGCTTCCGCCTGCGGCTGTAAAAAGAAAATAAAATAAAAAAAAAGTATCCCCACCAGCCGCACTCTTCCCGCGCCCGTTCCCACCTGTCGACGCTAAGATGCGTCTCTGAATTTTGTTCGTTTCCGTGCATGTGCAGGCGCGGTCGGCTGTCGACAGTGACGGTTGGATTCGCAAATTATCTGGCTCTGTGCCCCAGACCTGATTGACCCGCCCTCTGGAACCGCCTTTTGGGCCGCAGATCAAAATATTATCCCCACCAGCCCAACCATAATTGAGTGCCAGTTTTCTTGAGGCCTCTTGGAGGCTATCTTGAGCCATGCTCGGTTAGAGGCTGTCGGAAGCTATCTTGAGCCATGCTCGGCTATCTTGGACCATCTTGAGGCTGCCTTGAGGCCTCTTGGAGGGCTGTCGGAGGCTATCTTGAGCCATGCTTGGCTATCTTAGGCCATTTTGAAGGCCATCTTGGGCTATCTGGGGCTCTCTTGGAGCCATCTTGGGCCAACAAGGGCGGGGTGGAGGGTCTTTGGGAGAGGCTGGGAGGCCTCTTGGGGCCATCTTGGGCCCCATGGCTTGAAAAGAGGGGGCGCCTTAACTCGGATCCCCCCCTTGGAGGTTCCCAAACGGCGTCTCAGGGCCGTCTTGGAGCGCTCTTGGGCGCCTCTTGGGCGATCTTGGGGCCGTCTTCGGCCTTCTTGGGCCCCTCTTGGGGCCCTTTTGGGCCATCATAGTGCCATCTTGAGGCTTCCACCGCCCATCGGAAGCGAAAAGGCGAGAATGCCAACAACATTGATTTGCCCTAGGCTTTTGAAGGGTTTTGGCATCTTGGAGGGCGCCGTGGAGGGCTCGAAGGGCACTTGGATCCATATTGGGGCTGTCTTGGGTCTCTTTGGGGTATGTCGGAGGCTATCTTGACCCATCTTGAAGTAACATGGGCCATCTTGGAGGCCATCTTGCGACTTTGAACGCCTCTTGGAGCAATCTTGGGCCATCTTGGACGCTCTAGCGCCTCGCGGCGCGCCCCGTCCAGGCCCAGGGGAGAGGGTGGGGGGAGGGTTTTCAGTGGACGAGAGGAAAAATGCGTTATACCACCCAAGCCCAGAGGGCTGGTGGGACTACAACCCCTTTGAAATAATAATGGATCTTAGTGGCTCCTCTGAACTGGTTGGAAGCTAAATACGCTAGAAACTCCGCCGCCGGAGACGTGGGCGGAAGGGCACTGGCTACCGGCCCACAGAGGTAGGCCTCTACTTCACCGTGGGCATCACATTCTATTGTTGCCCATCCAGGGGCATGCAACCACTGGTGGCCTTCCTTGGCCACGCTACCGTCGACGTAAACCTCGCCGACAAAGGCTTCCGAAGGCGAAAGGCCGTTTCAGGACCAAAACTGGGCCTCAGCCAGGCCAAGACCGATGGGCCTCGGGACCTTAAAGGGCGGATGCTCAGGAAAACCAGCGCACATAGCAAAGGCCTGGGGGTCTCTCGGGGCTTCAAGATCGCCTTCAGCAAGGTACTCTTCCCGAAGATCTGCACATCTGAGGCACTTCAGGAGCCTGTGGAACATATGGTCTGATGGGACCCCACATATACAAGTAGTGTCCGTGTCGTAGCCCGCATCCTTGAGCCTACATTTGGTCCAAATCGATTGGGTCAGGCACGACACGAGGAGGTTATGATCTTGTGTTCTAAGCCGTTTATCAGCGAGAGCTGCTTTAGCGTGAGACAAGTCAGCTGCAGGCACTCCAATCTTTACTGCCACGGTCTCGGCCTGCTGATCCTGCCACGACGCCTCGAGCATCCGACGAATGAGAGCAGGCGCGCTGGTCGTGAGCGGGTAGACCTCGCCTGCCCTGCTCATGAACTCAATTGGACTCGTCCATGACCAGATAGCTCTTGGTAAATTTAATAAACGGCACCGAGAAGACCTCTGACATTACCCCAACCAGAAGGTTGCTTTTACAGGATGTGTGTTGCAAGTTGTCTAAGTTCGGGAAGGCTGAACTCGGATATTTTTTTATCTTGGGCCGCCCTGAAAACAATCATACTCCAGTAAATGCACGGTCCCACGGCGGATATCCATGTGGGGTCTTCCAGCACAGCTAGCGACAGGGCGCGCGACCGAATAGCACACTTGGGCCCCGCGACCTTCAGGAGCAGATTTTGCGCATCCTGGAGTTCCTGAACCGTGGGTCCCAGAATATCCGTCCCGAAATAGCCTGCTTGCTGAAGACCAGTGTTCGAAATCTTTTTAGTGTCTGCCCCTGCTGCGCGAAGGGCTCGTAATCTGCGGGGTCGATTCTTCAACTTCCCAGTCCTGGCCTTAAGTGTGTTCCTTCCCTTACTCCTTAGTCTGGCTGCAGCAGTGAAATCGACTCCTAAATTGGTGGCCGCAGGCTCGGTCAAACCGGCCTTCGGGCCAGCCCGTTGACCGAGTTTGGCCGCAAGATCGGCCTGGATATTCGGCGTCGAAGCCACAACAGCAGCCTTATGCTTGGCGATGTCACATTTCAGATCGAGGACAATCGACTGATGCAAACTAGCTGAGGCTGTGGCAAGGTCTGCTATCAATATGTTGGGCTCGCTGTTGTGGCTGGCCAACAAGAAATCATCAATGAAAATCGTGGGCTGCACGCGCGGGTTCTGGGCCACCCAGATGTCGATGGGCGGCAGGCAACACTGCTGAACGACAAAAGTGGCGGCCCAGCAGCCTGCCGCGATGCCTCTGTCAGGGCACCCAGCAGGTAACGCAGAAGCATGAGTAGCAACTGTCCTGGGCGCATGATACTGATTGCAAATGATTGCTACTAGCGAGTCCGAGAAATTTGTCTCCTGGGCCCTATGTCTCCAGAGTTCCCTGTCAACGCACTCGTAATAATTTGATAAATCCCAAAGAACAGTTACAGAGACAATTTATTGTTTTCCCACCTTCTGCTTCCATAGCTTGCTCGAACACAACTTCGAAAACTCATTTACCTGCTTGATGAGCGAGATATCTACGATGACGAGCTCGTTCCCAAGCTCGAAACTCAAGTTGCCGATGTTTACCCCAGACTCTCCAGAGCCCTGGCATCATACCTGTACCCCAGTAGTTGGGTCCTCGGTTTGGGCCTGTCTTGCGCTTTTCGATGAGGGCGGCGACGATGACGATGGCCCTTATCTGCGTCGGGAAAGCACCAACTCTTTCAATGGCCCGGAG